GCGCCTTGGCCTCCCGTCTGGCCTCCAGCTTGGCCCCCTCCGCCCGCACCCGGCGAATCCAATCCGCAACCTCCTTCTCCGTCGCCCGGCCGTGATGCTCTCCCTCCAGGAAGCTCTCCTCCACGGCATGGCACACCGCCTCCTGCTCGGCGATCGACGCCGCCAGCCGCTGGTACAGCGCCTTGGGCGACCACGGCGCCAGCGCCGCGTCCATCTCCGACTGTTTCTTCCGCCACGACACCTCCAGCGACTGGTGCGTTAGCAGCAGTGTCTCAGTCGACCCGCGCAGGTCCATCACCCGGCCCTGTAGCTCGAGCACATGGGCCGCCAGATCCTTGTTATACTTCAGCAGCGCCTGGAGGTACTCCTGGTGCGCCGCGTGGGATGGGTGGCGACTCGCCAGCGCGGAGATGAGACTCGGGTCTTTGAGAATCGTCTGGAGGTCCACGGTTCTGGAAACACGCCTGTCATTAGATGATGTGGTCTGCGACACTCACGGGTCGAAACAAAGAAACAGGGAAGCGTACGATTTCTCCTTCACGATCTCCGGTATCCAGCCCTCGTCGACGGTCGGCGGGCGAGGTAGAGACGTCCCCGGGTTGATATTTGTGGCCGCATGCATGCTCGCGTCTGCTCGGTATCGTTGGGACTGCGGCGTGCCTGGCTGCGAGGCGTGCAGCTGCGGTGTGCCCCGGCGACTCGCCTCGTGGCTGGTGGGCTTGGGAGGCGGGGGTGGAGGCGTATCGGCGTTCAGCGTTGGGTTCATTGTTACGAGTGACAACTTGAAACTGCTGGCTGGGATTCAATGCGGAGGCGAGGTCGGGATTGGATCGTTGAGTCGGGCGGGATGCGGGGAAATGGGTGGTCACGTGAGTTATATTTATGAGTATAGCAACAACTAGCCTGTCTGCAGTGAATGCAGTGAACGCAGCTTATGAGATGGACATGAGGATGGTACTGATACATAACTACGAGAGACTATGTCTATTCTGTATACCGTTCAACGGTAGTGGGAATTTGATGACTGCCTGAGGCTGACACCATGTGATCATCGATTCATCAACGCTAGCCATATATACCACCGAGATAGTCCTATATCAGTCCTGAAATACCATGTTTGAGCCATGCATTGCCTCCTATGTGACTCCCACCAGGCGACTGGCCTCGTGTCCCGCCTCTTGCAGCATATTAGTTGGTACCGCCGCCATGACTTTTGCAGCCACAGACAGCGATAAGAGGAAGATTCTCACTTCCTGCGTATCACACTTCTCGGGTGTGGATATCTGTGACCATATCCCAGCCTCAGAAACGGATATAGTAGTCCAGCCGACTCAACTCGTTCAACCGGTTTCTCACAGTGTATCCATGTAGTCGGCACCAGGCCGCACAAATAGGAAACCAGAGGCATTGAGCAGCCTTGTCATTAATAAGAAGTTCTGTCCGCGTAGCTTAGTCCATTCTGCGCCGCACCTCCCGATCCTGAGTATCCACATTGGATCCCCGAATGGCCTCCATGACCAACTCCCGAAGCTGGGCTTGAGTCGCCTCACTCTGGAAGTCGTCCCGGGCCGCCAGCTCATCAATCCTCCGTTTGAACTCCGGGTCCACCTGGTCCGTGCCCGCATTCGCCTCCTGCTCCGATACCGTGCCCAGGTTCACCTTGATGTTGGACGGCAATGGCGGAGCGGGGTTCAAAGAGTCCGTGACCTGGTCCTCGGCCGGCGCAGGCGGCAGACCCATCACTTGGCGGAGATAGACAGCAACCTCGGGGAACGACCCGTCGGCCTCGATGGACTCCTGCGCGGTGATGCCCTCGTCGTTCTTGTGGTTGACGTCGACGCCCAGCTCCTCCACGAGACATTTGGCGATCTCCACGGTCTCGGTCACGAACAGACAGGTCTCGGCATCTTCGTCGAGCAGGTTCACGTTGACGTGGAATTCCTGGACCAGGGCGCGCAGCAGGTCGAGGTGGTTGTAGGATGCGGCGGCGTGCAGGAGCGAGTATCCGTGCTCATCTTGGTTCGAGGCGATGGATGGGTTGGAACGCAGGAGAGTCAGCACCGCCGACGGGTTGTCGCAGGCCAGAATGTAGGGGTTGGGCTGAGACATGATGATTCCTACACGATGAGTCAGAGATGAGCCATAAAAGTGGCGGAATGGGCACTCACACAATGAGCACTATTAATAGAACAGGGACAGATAATTAGGATAAGGAGCGAAAGGGCGAATCTTGCAAAGTTGGGTGAGGGAGTGAATGAGGGGCAGCTTTAAAAGGTGCCCGGCGGAGAAAAAAAAATCAAATTAATTAAAGAAAATAATTGAATTATTGCCCCGCAGATCCGACGCCGATAAGAAACTAAAGCAACAGCAGAGCCTCCGTCGTCACCTTCTCTGTGTCATCGCTGCCCACCACTGACTCATCCCCTCGTACTCCCTGACATTTCACTTGATTCAACCTGTCGCAGGTGGGGACGAGGTCTTCTGGTTACATTGAAGGAATCAGGGCCCTGTTAAAGAGGCTCCTTCCCTGCGAATCGTCTTCGTGCTCAGCGTCTGCGCGCATCCCTTCTTTGAGTCGAAAACTACTTTTCTGATCACTTTTTGGCTGGCGCAATTCATCAAAAGATTCTCGCGTCTATTACAGACCGTAAAATTGAAAATGGTCCAGCAGGACGTCGGAGAAGTCTCCTACCTGGTCCAGGCCCTCGAGGCCGCCAGCAAGAAGGGCAGGGGCAAGGGCAAGCAATCGTTCACCTGCAAGAAGTCCACTTTCCCCGTGGCCGGCTCGGATAATATCTCCGTCGATTCGTGGAAGTTCATGGACTGGGATTACAAGCGCGGCGATCTCCCCACCTACGCGCGAGGCCTCTTCACCACCCGCAGAAAGGACGGCGCGCCCGAGATCGCAGTGCGCGGATACGACAAGTTCTTCAATGTCGACGAGGTTAACGACACCAAGTGGAGGAACATCGAGAATAACACCCGGGGACCGTACGAGCTCAGCGTGAAAGAAAACGGATGTATTATCTTCCTGTCTGGACTGGAAGACGACACCCTGCTGGTCTGCAGCAAACACTCAACAGGATCCAGGAATGATACCGAGATTAGCCATGCACAAGCAGGTGAACAGTGGATCGAGCGACATGTCTCGACCGTGGGCAAGTCGGTAAAGGAACTGGCTCAAGAGTTGCGTCGGATGAATGCTACCGCGGTTGGTGAGCTCTGTGACGATAGCTTCGAAGAACACGTACTGGCGTACGACGAATCGGCTGCCGGCTTCTACCTGCATGGTATCAACTACAATGTGCCCGAGTTCACGACGTGTCCCGGTGCCGAGGTACATGCATTCGCCGACAAATGGGGGTTCAAGAAAGCGAAGTTCGTAGAATACGACGATATCGATTCAGTGAAGAGATTCCTCGAGGGATGTGCAGAGTCTGGAACCTGGGATGGTCGAGAGACGGAAGGATTTGTGGTTCGGTGTCAGAAAAACGAGGGTGGTAGGGGCCCGTATCAGGATTGGTTCTTCAAATACAAGTTCGAGGAGCCTTACTTGATGTACAGACAGTGGCGCGAATGCACCAAGGCGGTTATCGCTGGAAAGGTCCCGAACATCAAGAAACACAAGAAGATCACCGAGGAGTACCTGAAGTATGCGCGGAGACAGCTCGTCCAAAACCCTCATCTGGCGAAGGAATACCAACACAACCACGGGATTATTGCCATGCGAGAGGGCTTCCTCCAGGAACGAGGCCTGAAAGGATCCGAGATTATTGCGCTGGAGGCGGAGGGACAGGAGGAAGTGAAGAACGACGTGATCCTGGTTCCAATTGCTTCTCTAGGCTGTGGAAAGACTACAGTGGCGCTTGCTTTGACCAAACTGTTTGGATGGGGACATGTGCAAAACGATAACATCCCGAAGCAGAAGAACAAGCCGAAGAAGTTTGCTCTCGACATCACGAATCTTCTGGCGACACACCCCGTGGTGATTGCGGACCGGAACAATCACATGCGGCGCGAAAGACAGCAGCTCATGGACGACATCTTTCCGGTGGTCCCTCGGGCTAAGTTTGTAGCTCTGCAGTATGTTCACGACCCCAAAGGGAAGATGCTCCCAGGCATCCGAGAGGTTACCCGACGGCGAGTGCTCGACCGTGGTGACAACCACCAGACCATCCGCGCTGGAAGCAAGAACTCAGACGAGATTATCGGCATCATGGAAGGCTTCCTCAGTCGATTTGAGGGTGTCGATACCGACCGTGAACCGGACAAAAGCTTCGACGAGGTCATTGACCTAGACGTGTCTGCTGATTCGCGCGGCAACTTGGACACGGTAGTGACCACATTGCATAAACTCTACCCACACATCGTGAAACAGATCCCAACCCCACAGGAGCTCGATGCTGCCCTTGACTGGGCGATGTCCGACTACCAAGTCCAGATCGACCTCAGCCACCAATATGGGGCGAAGACCCAGAAGGACAAGAACAAGAAGGGCACCCAGTCCACCCCAACACCTAATGTAACCCCCGAGAGCTTAGCAAAGGGTATCGAATACTTCTGCATCTCCCTGCCGGCAGCTGAGGTGTCGGAAGTTCTCCAGTCTTTGTTCCCTCCCTCCACAGACCCCGAGCAAGCTCGTGTGTACCGCCAGCTAGCGAATACCCGACGCATCCAGCCCACGTTCCATGTGACATTGATTCACCGAGCCTCGAAGAAAGACCGCCCAGAGGTTTGGGACGGCTACACCCAGCAATACATCCAGGCGATGAAGGAGAAGCCCGAGTCGGACCCTACCGTGACCCCAGCCCTAGCTCCTGCCCGCGTCCGGCTAGAACGCCTTATCTGGGATGATCGTTTGATGGCTTTCGTTGCTCGGATTATGCCCCCAGAGGACGACGAGCAAGCGGGATGGGCCTGTGCGAATGACATACCGCACGTTACGGTGGGCACGGTCTCGCCCGAGGTCAAGCCCAAGGAGAGCAACGATCTGTTGCAGCGCTGGCACCAGGGAGGATCTGGCGGCGACACGGGTATCTGGGAGGCTGAGATCCCGGGTGTGAAGGTGGTGAATGGCACGCTTGGACTGGTTATGAGCAGGCGGTAAACTTACAGCTTACGACAGACGATGACTAGAGAAAAACAGAAAAGACCTATTCAAACACAGGTCAGATAAAAGAAGAAAAAAAAGTTTTAAGTACTAATGAATGAATATACATTCAACTCTCATGCATGAACATATCCTGATATCCATAGATGGATGTATCTTACACTCCATGATAGAGTGTCTTTAAGTACAGCGATGAACATGACACAGCACAGCACCACTAGTCCATGCCAACAATTTCCTCCATCTCCAGGCTAATCTTTATAAATGATTACTTTATATAAATAATAATTACCAACATTAGATAGCATAATCTATATACCATGGTGTAAAATATATATTAAAATAAAACCATCCTAATCACCACCCACACATGAAATATATCTATCTTACTTACTACCCACGCAAAAACCACACAAAACATATTCACAACCGAGAAAAAGAAAAAAAAAGTAAAAAGAAAGAAGAAGAAAAGA